GATAGTGACAATTAAATAAATATTTAAAAGTTATTATGTTATATAATAAATCTTTTTTCTAAAATAGTATAAAAATATAGAGTAAGGACACAGTATTATAACATACTGCTTATAATGATATATTTTAAAGAGAAATAACTAAATTAAATTTTTTTCGCAGTATCAGGAATATGGCTCGAGAGGCTGAAACGTTGAATACTAAATAAAGTGAAAACGTTTGTTATTGGTGACCTTTGGTCTAATACTTTTTAAATATATATATATATATATATATATATATATATATATATATATATATATATATATATATATATTTATATATTTTTCATATTCTCAAAATCACAATTCCATTTGATTTCTACCAGGAAAAAAAGACCTGGTTGATATTTCGCCCCTTCTGGACCAGCCTCATCCATCTCTTCCTTTCTTCAGCAACTGTTGTCAAATTTTTTGAATGCTTTAACACTGTTTTTTTAATCTATCTATTCATACGGTTATAAGTTAATCTCGTTTTTTGAATGTTCATATATTTTATGGTACTATCTATCAAAAAAAAAAAAAAGAAAAGAAGTTACTTAATTAAAGATGTTAAAAAAATTTTCCACTCTGTCTAGAATTGCTTGGTTACCAAGATTATAACCATGCTGTTAGCCAAAAGTGAATATAATAGAAAAAAATATAATAAAAAAGGAAAGAAGAAAGGTGTAAATTAAATATACAAGACAATTTTAGTATTACTAATGTATTGTAGACCTCCAATGTTAATTAATTATGTTGATTTTTAAGCCTTATGATTTTTTTTATTTATCAATGACAATAGCTACTAAAGTGGTTCTAACACATTAGTGTTATTTTAAAGTATGTATTTGGTAAAAAAAACATTTAATTATTTATTTTTGTTGATGAATTCATTTTAATGATATTCACATATCTGATTTATTTAATAACGCCAAATACTTTTGGGAAATTCAATTCAGTATTTTACGTTAAAACAACCCCTCGATACAAAGATAATATTTAAAATCAGGGATTGAAAATGTTATAGACCTTTTTTAAAAATTTTCATTTCAACAGTTTCTGTGATTTTTTTTAGGGAAAAAGGCCCATTTCAAAGGTTTCTTTGAATTCTTTTTAAGAAAAAAATTCTTAAAATAAAAGTTCTAAGCAACTTTTTCGTAACAAAGTTCCAGACTTACGGTAAAAGTATAACTTTTATTTATTCAAGCTCTTGAAAAAATTAAGTTAGAACAAAATTAAACAGTAATTGGGCACAGATTAGAGTAATAACTAAATGTGTGTTATAACTAAACTAATTACACGTGATTCTAATGTGTCGTTTGTTTAGGTAGGTATGAACAAAAGTAATTTTTTAGATAGAATTTTTAGCGAAATCGACAGAACTTTTAAATAAAAGTCTTTAAACAATAAAAGTTCTGTAAGATCTTTAATTGAAAAGTTGTAATGGAAAAAGTTTCAGTTTCAAAAGGACTGAAAAATTATCGATAGTAAAAATTTACACCATGTACATTTTAAAGTTTTAAAAATAATTTTTTTTCCCCGTTCCAAGCACTGTTTAAGATAATGTGTTTCTACTGAAGTTATTTTTAGTTTATAGATTTGGTCAAATGTGGAAATATTTGCTATAATTTATATAGCGACTGAAATAAAATTGCTACTATTACCGAGTCAAGATTTATAAAATACATAAGCTACGAGCTGTTCATCCAAGCGTTCCAGAAGGCGTGGCATTAATACCGCTGGACGCCATTTGGTTTTTATCATTCATACATAAAGTGTAGGCAGGACGATTACTGAAGGCTCAAAGGGCTCAGGTCGGAATTCGAGGTAACTTTTGCCGCTGAACGGAGCGCTTTGATTCTAAGATGGCTATTGAGTTGAGGCGGTTCTCCATGTGCCTCTTTGATCTGCAACCGAAATAGTTCCGTGTCGAGAGAAGTGGGGAAAGAGGGAGGGGGAGGAAATTGTTTGGTATTTGATGTATATAGTTTTTAAAATTTCCCTTAGCATAAATGGAATATGGTCTGTAGTACATGAGCAACGAGTCTGAATAAATAGGAAATATATCGGATTGCCACATAAATAAAATATTCTACGACATAAGGACACAGTTATATCTTAATTCAATATTTATAGTTATGAAGAGTTTAAAAAAAATCTTTTATATATTTGCTAGAATAACTTCAAACAACAACAAACAAAAAAATTGAATATTTAATAGTTAACCACTGCATTAAAAGGAAGGAGAGGGTCCGGGGTAGCGGTCATAAAAAGGCTAAATGGTGTCAAAACTATTTTATTAAAAGCCAACGTTTGACCCGAATTTGCAGATCTTCTTCAGGGAGGTGTGTTCAGCTAGGAGTTTCACTTAGAACTGGAAGGAAATTCTAAGTGAAACTAGTTCGAAGTGGAACTCCTAGCTGAACAAACCTCCCTGAAGAAGACCTGCAAAATCGAGTCGAAACGTTGGCTTTTAATAAAATAGTTTTGCCATTATTTAGCATTTTTATGACCGCCATCCCGGACCATCTCCTTCAAAAAAAAAAAAAAAAAAATAGGTCTTGCGTTCAGTACTATGTGATTGGGCCGCTCAACCGCCAGATTTTTCCAATTATTAATTATTTCATTAAGATTACTTTCTTTGCAGAGGCTGGGTGTGCACCATGAAGGTCTCCCGACCCCAGGATCAATTTCGAAGTTCGAAACTTTGACCTTGAGATCTGGAAGTCAGTCCTCATGCACTGCACTACCGCACTCTCTTCATATATTCAATAGTCGAGTTAAAAATTAAATAAACCATTCTCCCTCTAAAAAAAAAAAAAAAAATGCATCATTACCTGAGGTGTTTTTCCTGTCAACTAATCGATTGTTAAAAAATGGTAAAAATGCTTCCTTTTTACCAGCCCATATAACTTATTATATTTAATGCTCTATTACAGAAATTATATGTTTAATTTTTGTTTACGTACCTTCACGTGAGAGGAGCGACTGGGGCTTTTCGAATCGAAAAAAATTAAGAATAAACTATATTTTTGAAAACACTGCTATTTCTATTAGCATTCAAAATTATATGTTTTCTCTCCGAAGAAGGAATCTTAAAAAATATCTGAACCTTCATACAGCACTCCCCACTTCTTTTATTCCTCTTAACATTTTTTTTTCTTTTTTATCTAACGTGCGAACTTTAAATAACTAAACTTTAATAACATTAAACAACTTAAATAACAATAAACAACTTTTAACTTAAATAACAATAAACAACTTTTAACCTTAACGTGCATTTTAATTTTTTTTTAATTTTATCCAGTTCTTAATATTTATAACCAAAAGATATAACAATATATAATTTTAATTAACGGCGTTGATGACCAACAGGTTCTACGCCTTCACTACACAACCAACCAACCAATCTATTAGTATTCAATTTTGCAACTTAATCAGCTATTGATGGAAGTACCAAAGGATATATTGGCACGATTTACAAACAAAGAAAAATAAGGTAATGGCCGCTTTGGAAGAGTATGAAAAAGCGCCAAGTAAAATTTCCCGTACAGACACCTACAACCCACGCGATAGACCAGAATACGGATTGCTCAATTATTTTAATGCTTGCTCTATTCTAAAAAGCTTAACTTAATTTTATCAATTTCTGAGTTTTGCCGAATGCCCATTAGCTGTTATTTAGGCATAATATAATAGAAAGAATGAGAATAAGGTAATATTTCAAGAATTAAGTGTGGCAAAGTAGCAAGAAATATTCATCAGCCTTATTTCGTGTCAGCTACATAGGTCCTTGGTACTAGATATGAATTTTTTCTATTTCTTTATTTAGTGATTTTTTTATTTTATTAAAAAAAAAGTTTACTATGAAATTTTAAAGGAATAACTTAAAAAGATACGCAACAGACTTAGGATAAATGAAAATTAAATAAAGGGACTAAAAAGAAAAAAAACAAAACAATATAACTGAGCTATTGATTATTTATATTCGCTGCTTCTCCAATAACTAAATCAAAGTCATTATCAAGCTAAATTAAATAAACGAAACAGTTATATTAAGATGCGCTACTGCGAAGTTGCGAGTTCCTTAAAATAATAAAATAAAATAAAAATATTGATTACAGCGTGTTAAATATAACATTAAATTTTTTATATTATATCTAGCATAGACATATAAATATGCTGCGTACATAGCATCACATTTAAACATCTCAGGGAAAGAAAGATATTTTGTTTAAGTAGTTTTATCTTGAATATTTTACATATATTACATAATTATCGTATCATTATTTTCACGCTATTCGTATCATCATTAATTTACTCTTCTCTTATTATTTAATCTATTTAAGTTGGCAGGTGACATAGAATAAACTCGTATTCAATAATTATATTCACTATAGTGAATTGATTGAGTAGACAAAAACTTGCTAACGCAGTGGTTGTCATTATGGTACAATCAATAAAATGATTGTTGGAGATCGTTCAAGTGTTAAACAAATTACGGTTCCTATTATATAGCTTTATTAACATAATGGTATCTCTGTATTGTTCTACACGACCGATTATCGACAACGAATTGGCGATACAACAATGACGCCCTTTGTCTGGCAAATCGAATATAAAACATTCAATATTGATACACCTTAATTCGTTTTCTTGTTCGAGTTATATATTAATTTATTATAGTACAATTGTATCTAGGGAGAGAGTCTTAAAAATATTTTTTTCTGTTTTAATCCGATGAAAATATATGATAATAACTGATATATGATAGTATAATAACTGAAAATTTAGTTAATACTATATAACATTTTTTAATCATATTCATTGGGAATATATAAAAAGTTTCATTGGAAAATTTAATTATAGTTGTTAAAATATATTATACGAAAAAATCAGATTCAAAATAATATTTTTTTTTTTTTTTTAGGAGTCGACTAAACGTCGATTCGTGCTTGCTCATTTAGTACCATTTCGTTGTGAGTACATACACGGGTAAAATACTGGATCAGAGACTCTTTAAACATGAAGTATATTTTTCAAACTTATACGCACAACAACATGTAAGTACATACTACAAAAATATATTTTATGGTAACTAGTACATCGATTAATAATTAAACGATACGAATTTCTATACTCATTTTGATTTCTAGCTTAATTTTCTGATCTTCGTACTCTCCTCGGATCCGTTCCATGTATCCCATTCTGAATTCCTTCTCCAAGTACTGACTTTTCGTTTGGATTGATTCCATCACTGAAATCTTCTACCTCGGAAGAACTTGTTTCATATTCGGCGTTTCTTGCAAAACGGTTGTTTCCAAGATTGGCCAGATCACGAACCAAATGCCCGCCTCCGATGGTGTCCAAGTTGCGCAGGAGATGTCCTCCACCAAGGGTGTCAAGGTGGCCTTCCATTTCGTCATAAATACGAAGCAAGTTGTTTCCTCCAACGGTATCCAGCTTTCTTAAGAGGTGGCCACCTCCAAGACTGTCCAAGTTCCTGACAAGATGTCCTCCTCCAATTGTGTCTAGATTCCTTACAAGATGTCCTCCTCCAATTGTGTCCAGATTCCTAACAAGATGTCCTCCTCCAATTGTGTCCAGATTCCTTACAAGATGTCCTCCTCCAATACTATCCAAGTTCCTGACGAGGTGTCCACCTCCAATAGAATCCAAGTTTCTGACAAGATGTCTTCCTCCAATGCTGTCCAAGTTCCTGAGGAGATGACCTCCTCCTATAGTATCGAGATGACCTTCAGGACTATCGTCGTAGTTCTGCCTCAGAAGGACTCCTCCGTCACTGTCTAGATCGCGGACCAGATGCCCGCCTCCGATCGAATCCAAAGTGCCTCCTCTCATCCAAGTGGACCTGTCTAACTGCTTCATTAGTTCTCTGTAGTTCGCCGCGGATTCTGAAAAATTAAAATCAATCTAAAATAACATAATGCCGTCATAAATACTTATTTTTTAAAATTTTATTAACAAAAACATTCGCGAACGTCTTCACAACACGAAATTCACAGCCCACGGTGCACAAGATTCTTCCAGACATTAGGAGAAAGATGTGTTTTACATTATCCTCAATTATAAGCTAACATATATTTGTACATAAAAGACAATAATACTATAAATATAAAATACATGCAAAGAGACTTTAAACAGTTTACACACTCCACTAATCAGACAAAACATTCTCCATTACATATGTTCTTACATACAAGTATGACATTCAATTCATACGTTTAACTAAAATGCTTATAATAAATGACATAATGGAAACATATATGACTTAACATACCAAAAAAAATGTTAAACAGAAACATTAAGGAAACAAAACACAGTTTACATAGACATTAAAAGGAATATTACTAAGGACATACATCAATGAAACTAAATATACATAAGAAAAATTGTAAAATTTTAAATTAAAATGAAATAATGACTCTATTAATTCAATAATACGAAATCATCAAGTAAATGAAATTAAAATAAAATGTTATGCAAGACAATTATTGAAAGACCCAAACAAATTACTAAACTAAACATAATATTTTGTAAAGTTTATGCAAGTGGTTTAAGAAATAAAATATAAATGCAAAGTGTGCCTGGCTGTGACGCTAACATTTCTTCAGACTTTTTGTGCCGTTTTCCATTCCATTCTTGGACATCCTGTAATCTATCATGCAATTTAAAGAAGATTTCTTCATTAATTGAAAAAACTCGGCATATTTTAATTTTGAAGGTTATATTATGATGTTTAGCTATTAGTGATAAGCTCTGGTTTCTATAACAGAACGTCGTCGTTTCAAGTTGAGACTATTCCCTTAAGTAAAAACCGATTTGCTACATAATCTTACCAATCTTTACGACTCCAATTTTGGTAGATTGGACATTGTGCAAGAATTAGTGCATCAAAGTAAATGAAAATTATCTTCACCCTTCGCCATAATGTCCGATAATATCCGCTTCCAATTCTCCAAATCCCTACTGTTTACCCATTTGCGGGCATACTATTATTATGTTGAGCCCACAAACAAGACTCAAAAGGCAGGAACTTAACCAACGATATGATAAATAAAGCAGACTGCTCACTATAAAATCTCTTTCTGTAGACAACAAATTACTGATCTACAAAACAATCCTAAAACCTATCCATAAATTTCCGGACTAAAACTATAGGAGACCGCTGAATTTTCTAATATAAAAAACAACCAATCCTTTCGTTATATCATGTTTATCCCATTATACGCAAAAAACAAAATCCTACACTATGAGCTCATTATCGCATTTGTCATATTGACTTGTGCCACTTTTTTTATCCAAATTATACCAGAACCTTGCATATCATCAAGTCCCTTCACACAATCGCTATCTAGCAGCACTAATCCATACGATCCTTCTCGAGGGTTGAAACGGTAGTGGTCTGATCTTTTATAATATGTATATAATTTGAGCTCTGGCAATGGTCAGTTATCCACTTAAAACAGGAGTGTATGTTGCTATAGAGCTCTCGCTCAATCTCCAATAGCTTTAGTATTAGTGACGGGTTGAGAGAGTAGCGTTGGGATCTACTTGTGCCCTGATTTTCCCTCAACAGGTGGAGGAACAAGTCTGGTTCGGACTTTCCTGAATGTAAATATTGCATATACCATGGATGATAAATATTCAGCACGCGGTCATTATATGAAGTTTTTATTAGTGCTGACGTTTCAACATAAACATGTGGGTTATCATCAGGACGTGTTTCGAACACTGAAGTTATTCAAGTAGTTAATACCTCAATACCCACAGTACTTGAATACCTTCAGTGCTCGAAACAAGCCCTGATGATGACTCACATGTTTGAGTTGAAACGTCGGCACTAATAAAAACTTTATAATGACTGCGTCCTCAATATTTATCCCCCATGGTATGTAGAACAGTTGTCTAACTCTCTCAAACAGTGAATATAGTAGTGTCTGCGTCATTTTACTTTAAGTTTATTTTATTTTTATTTATTGTATATACAATACATGGGAAACAGCGTCATCAGTGACGTGGTTGCGGCCTCCAAACGTTTTCGCGATATTTATTAATCAAGAGCTAGAATTAATTATTTGAGTAATGGTAATTTGTAAATTAATATAATTAAGTTGAATGTGTGTATGTGGGTGGGTGTATTTAGTGATAAATAAAAATAGCAACAGCAAAATACAAATAATTCTTGTGCCCTCCATTAGCAAAGCCTAACCTTACTGCGGCCTGTAATGATAAAAAGATTCCCCTTTGATTATTATTTAGTTGTTACTGCTTCTATTTTACTTTATGTATTCATATTTTCTGTCAATATGAGGTAATTGATGTATTTTCTTCTCACTATAACCGTAATGTTTTTTTTGTTTTTTTTTTCCTAACCCCTTTTATATTTACCTTTGATAAACCTAGAATCCTTGGATTTTCTGGCATTCATACTGCTACTTGAGACAGCTATGTCATAAGCAAAGACTGTCACAGAAGCATTTAGGTGTTTAGTTCCTACTATTTGAGCAGTATATGATAGGAAAAGAACGGGAGATAAAACAGCTCCTTGGGGTATCCCACAAATGAGATCGACAGTGTTTGATTTCTCATTGAATAATTTTACTGATAAGGTACGACGGCTTAGAAACGATTTTGACAATGAGTATAATTGTTCAGGACAATCTAGATTGATAAGCCGTTGACAGAGCTGATTACGGCAAACCGAATCAAATGCCTTCGAGCAGTCCATCGATGTTAAATCAGTGGCCTTTTTCGATTCGATTTTTTTTTTTTTGTGACCGTAATAGATTTTATGAAGATATTTTATATTACTCAATATAATAAATATAATGGGAATATTATATTTCTCAATATAATGGTTTCATAAGGAAGAACCTTAACATGCATGAGACTGTCCAATAAATGTTACAGGATATAAATAGAGATGTAGATATCCTGATGGATTTCTTGAAAATAAAGGTAAGTTATAAATAATTTAGCAATTGACTTTACAAAATCTAAGTTAAAAAAGGATTGCCAATGACCCTATGGGATAGATACGTAGTCAATAATAGTTAAAAAAGTAAAGAATATGTATTGATGGTTGCTTGATGAGTTAAATAAACACTTACTACCTCTTGCCTTTGCTAAGTACCAATTACCCGAAAAATAAACATGGCCCAGAGACTTGTATCCAAGAGAGAGGCGAGCGTTAGAGAGGTGGTTTGGGTCAGCGAACATTAAAGACCGTCCACTCGGACATCTTCACGGTCCCCTGTTTTCTGTTTGAGGCCCAACTCCTCTTAATTGCATCCTGTCCACCTTTAACCTCTTTTGAGGTCAATAGCCGTCATTTAGGAATTTCACGCCCCTTGTAAGGCGATAAGCGCAAATTATTCTTGAATCATTCAGATGACAGAGAGGATCTGAAATCGAATTAGAATTTGCTTAAGATTGAATAATAATATTTTGTTAGAATTCTCGGAAAAAAATAACAAAACAACTTAAAATCATTGGCGAACTGTGGTTCAGAAGTGTAAAAAAAACTTAAAATAAAAGTGTTACAATCAAACTTTTTGTACTATATTACTTCTCCTTAACATCCCTAGAACCCAGTCCAATAACTATTTTCTATAATTTCTCTCTATTTAGCTCTTGAAGACGCAAATTAATGATCAACTTTCAGTGGTTTTAACAATAAACCCTATCTACAGATATTTTGAATAAATATTTTCAGGTCTCGATATGAGAGAAGTTATTGATTTTGTGTTTGAAATGTCTCACTTATGGACAAATAAATATTAAAGAAATCAAATTTGGTACAGTCTTACAGTTAATTGGTTTTCATTTCTAAACCTATATAAAGGTATAAGGATAAAGAAAGTATAAACACAAAATAAACTACTAGCTCCACTAAGGGACATATTCCATTCGATAGTACATTTTAAAAACGTAAATACTATGAAAAAAAATTGCTTGCTGATATTCTCGTATCTAAAGGTATGAGTGATTTTTTCGTGAAAAACATTTCATTCATGTAAAGTAAAGATATTGTTAGCTGAGAAATTCAACCGATCACCTTTTCATGTTAATTAACATTATTCATGTACTTTTTTCTTGACAGTTAATACTTTAATCACATTTATATGAATAAGAGATCTATTAAAGACGATAGTAGTCATTATTAGACGTATTAGAATGGAACATCATAAGTTTATCCGAAATTTTTCACAAAATATTATGTTAGAATTCGACGAACTAGAAATCTTTTCTGATGCAATTTCATAGAAAATAGGTTTTTCATTATGTAACAAATAGATATCATTTATGATTTAATCCATCAGAAAGGAGTTTGTTTTACAAATTGAAAAACGATTCAAAAATTTTTAATTTCACAACAATTTCGTCTAAGTGGTCTAGTGTGTATCCAATAAAAAAAAAAACTATAATAAAAAAAAATCAGTAAATCAGTAAATTTCATTTTCTTAGCTGTAAATAAAGTAATTTATTTAGTATTTCTTTTAAATTTTGGTAACTCAGTAAAATACCCTCCAATATTCTTCCACGATCACTAAGACGATCTAAATTTTATGGAAATTTAATAGGTTTAAAAAAAATAATAAATTAAATAAGGGAATAATAGAGGTTAATACACAATTCTCAACTGAGCTTAATTTTTTTTTTTTTTGTAATAATAGTTTTCAGATGCTAATTAGGTGAAAATATCTTAAATAACAATATTAAGATTTTAAAATTAAAATGCTCTTTCGTCGGATAATATTGTTTTTTTTTATTAATATTTATTCTTGAACCTTCAGTTCCAGATTGTGTTATTATTATAAATCTATATATTTAAACATTTACTAAATCAGTTTTTATTTCAAGCTTACTAATCCTCATTTTTTTTCTGATA